AAATCGATTGGCATACAAGTGTATTTCAACTCTACGTCCGACCCAACAATTCAATTAGTCTCAATCAAGAGGGACTACAATACCTACAATTTGATGGTCAACAACAACAGATTCAGGTATATGTCCTCACGACACATCCGGATGAGGTTGAGCTAAGATCGGACAGATTTCTATACAATAACAATATCCGATACAATTATTTCGTTAGACAAGTAAACAATCGTAGATTGATATATATGCGTCAAAGGCCACTCCTTCCGTATTTACCGGTTTATAGTAGCGGTATTCACGGCTTACGCCATTGTATTGGTATCAACGGCTGGCGGGCTATCCCATTACAGTTTGATAATGTTGGCAACGGAGAGGAACGGGTCTATTTTGTTAACACAGAAATGGCCGGTCGATTGAGAAGATTGTTTGAAATCTGGGACGTCATGAAAGTCTATCGGTCCTGGTTTAGCAGTCTCATCAGATTTACATTTGTATTGATTGAAATGCAGAGATTGGCTGACAATCCGATCGCAACCGATCAGGAAGACCGACAAATAGACTTCTGGAACAACTGGCTATACGATGTGGTGCCCCATATCTACATAAATTATCAGGCACTGCAAAACCTGCATCTACTGTACCGGCACAGTATACTGATTAACGATCCGGATACACCTGCGCCAAGATATGCGCAAACATGGCCAACAGCTAACGAAATTGCAAACCAAGCGGTAGTCCATGAAATCGATGACAATACAGATGAGGGTCCCTATAATTTTATTAGGGAACTCAATCAGCTGTTTGGTGGTCCCGGTGCTAATCAAAGCATTGACACGAACATTGATCTTCAAGAACTTGCTGACTTTGCTACTCGTATGAATCAGTCGGCCACTAGTGGTGGTGTAAATCCGGCTGCAGTTTCCATTGACAATGCATACGCCGGTGGATATATAGATTTGAATCAGCCGGGAACTAGTGGTGTCAAAACAGCTAAAAAGACGACAATTATCGAAAAAGTAAGAATGTCTGACTCAGACTCAGATTCAGATTAGTGTCCGAACAAAATATTTTGTTAACCATTTTTGGATGAAAAAGAAAAATAAGAAGAAGATGGAGGAGGAAGAGGAGGAAAGGTAGGGTTAGGTAAATGTTAGTACATAAACAAAATTAAAATTTATACTTTAAAATTTAATAATAAAATTTATTTTTACATAAACAAAATAAATATAAATATCATACAAATTTTTATCTCTTAAAGAAGATAAAAATAAAATGAATGTTGAATTAATACTTTTTATATTTATGTTAAAAATTAGTGTAAATATAATAATTTCTATTTTCTTTTTTCTATATCTTTTAATTTCTAGTTATTTTATACCCTATTTGACAAATGTTGAGTTTATTTTGTTATACTGAATCATTTGACACCACAGATGACTGAATTTGAGTTTATTTTCTCATACAGTAATTTGATTTTAATTAAAAAATAATTTTGGATAAGTAGTTCGTATGGAAATGCTTTCTAACATTCTCAACTGGTTTCAAAATATATTTTATAAAATATAGAAAAATATATTTATTTTTTATTTAAATTTATTTATCAATGACTAATAAGAAAATAATATAATATTAAGATATAGTATAATAATTATTGATAGAAACAAATAACAAACATAATTAAGTTAAATACTGGTAATAAAAAAATAATTAATAAATAAAATATATAATTAGTATTTTGGATTAGAAATTAATTGATTGATTGAACTGTAGTTTGAAAAGTATTGGACGACTCATATTGGTATTGGACGTGATAGTGGTTGTAGTGGTTGGTGATGCTGGTGCAGGTAGTAGGAGAGGTAATGATAAAGACAAACATTTATTTAAAAAAAAAGTTAGATGTGATATAAGATATTGCCCTAAATGTGTATTTAATACCGAGATTTATTTTATTACTACATTTTTTCTTTAAATTTAAAAATTAAAAAAAATAACAATAAATGATTTTTTTCTCTAAAAATTAGATATCAGTACAACAAAGAGGCGATTATCATATCAGTGAACACTACATACCGGTTCCGCAACAAACAAACATAAAGAAAGGCAAACAAACCAAATGGCATTAGAAAATATACAGCAATCGATAGACGGTGTACACCAACTGCTGGAAGTGACACAAATGGTAGAGATAAGTCCTAATGACAATCAGCAGCCATACGTCAATTTGTCACTAAACCATACTATACAGCAACAGATATGGATCGCTGGACAGCCTATTAATACACGTGTGACTAAGAGACTTGAAAGACTGTTAGTCAATTTGGAAAATCGTGTCAGCTTTGGCTGCCAATGGGTCAACCATAGGGGTAGTAGGGTATGCGTAGTAACAAAGCAGGCATTAGGACAACTATCACGTATTAAACCGGTCCACTCGCACGGACTGGTCAGTGAAGGCGGTCCTCAATCAACGCTCGTTGTCAGACAGACACCTGACGAAGAACAGCCGGACGAGGAATTGCTTTATATTATATCGGAGCGAACGGCACAGATGATGGCCACACAGCTATACGATCAACAGGTTATACACAAACTTATAGACGCCATCGCGAAACTGATCAATGCAGGCATTCAACTCTACCAGACATATCTGGAAAACTATATACCCAATGTTGATCTGGTCGACAACGATAACCAAAGACAGCGGTTTTGCGAAGTGGCCACACGGCTCAGGTATCTGCTGCACGAAGCCATGTCAATGGAAGAGGTGCTCACACACGCTGTCGAGTATACACCGCAAGCCTTAGCCATACAAGTGCAGCCCGAACCGATTAGCCGACCGGCGCCTCTAAACTTGCAGCCGTGGCTACCCGAACACCCGACACACATCAATAGTATGAATGAATTTGAAGGAATCGAACAAAGTGTGGAAAACAATGGACACCGATTATACCAAATCAATTGGATGGATGTATTTAAACGGTACGCACATCGGGACCACTCAATTATTATCAGTCAGACAGGACAACAGGTATTAAAGTTTGCAGATAGTAATCAAGTGATTCACGTGTTTGTTAATATAGGAGGAACACATGGGATAGAAATACGGTCGACAAGTTTTGAACACTATGGCTATAAAAAAGCGCATATATATTTTGTACGTAAAGTAGACAATAAACAGTTGATATATAAGCGTCCAAAACCGAGTGAAAATTATCAACCGGTTTACAGTTACGGTAATCACGGCGAACATGTCATTGTTGGTCTTAACGGTTGGCAGACAATGGTATTGCAGTTCAAAGATATTGACCCCGAGGAACGGGTATATTTTGTAAACTATAGAATAGCCCGCAAATTGAGACGACTGTTTGAGGTATGGGATGTAATGACAGTTTATCGGCAATGGTTTGTAGATCTGCTTCGTTACGCTTCGTTGCTCATTGAGATGCAACGATTTGCAAACCAAAACGTTCAGTTACGACAAGATATTACCATCAAATTGATAAAACGGAACAAATGGTTGTCCGTTGCACTGTCCCGACTGCTTACCAATTATTATGCACTGGAAAAGCTGCAACTCCTTCACCGACATAGTATAATAATTGCCGAACCAAACTGTGAATTGCCAAGAGATTTGTCTTCATGGCCCACCACTAGAGAAGCTGATAATTTAGATGTTGATGGAGAGGATGAACCAGATGCAGATGATGCTGATGTTGGTGCTTATTGGGGAGTCGTTTTGGATTCAACAGTTGTTTATGATGATGATGGTGCTTATGGTGGAGCTGATCCCAATGATCCCATCAATTTATTAGTTCCCACCAATCTACTCACTCAAATCGAGCCCATCGGTCCTATGGATCCCATTGATCCAATGGATTTCATTAATCCCATTGGCCATGACCCTATGATATATGAAGGTGCAGTTGGCTATGAAGCCCCTATGGGACATGGAGGTGCCGTTGGTCCTGAAGAACCCTTTGATCCTGAAGAACCCGTTGGTCATGAAGAAACCGTTACTAGTAGTCAGGGTAGTCAAGAGAGCCGTCGTAAGCGTCAAAAGTCGTCAAACTTTACAGAAGAAGATCCATCAACCGATGACGACCCAAATTAGACGGTATTTTTGCACAAAATATTTGTAGACTATTGTAGACCATAAAGGTATGGATAGAAATAATAGAAATTGTAAATAATAAAGTGATACAAACAATACTATTTGCACCTGAAATGACTCAATTGTATTGACACTATAAGTCAAAAAAATAATAGTATGACTTCATATCACCCCTAACTAACACACTACTATCTAACCTCAACACCATTTCCTAACCTCCCACACCCTACTCAACCCATACCCAAATTAACCCAAATATAAAGCTAAATATAATTATAATGCTTTTATATTGTACTATTAAAACAATATAAAAAACCATTTTTATTTAAATTTGAAAAATTATAAAAAAATAACACTAAATGAATATTTTTCTGATAAATTAGAAATCATTATAATAAAGAAATACAATTATCATTGGCACTACCTATCAAACTATCAATACCTACTTATTTACAGTACATACCGGTGCCGCAACAAACACAATAAAAACAGTCAGAAAAAAACCAAATGGCATTAGAAAACATACAGCAAGCGATAGACGGTGTACACCAACTGCTGGAAGTGACACAAATGGTAGAGATAAGTCATGGCGACAATCAGCAGCCATACATCAATATGTCACTAAACCATACTATACAGCAACAGGTATGGGTGGCCGGTAAGTCTATTAATACACGTGTGACAAGAAGTATTGGAAGACGGTTAGTAAATTTGGAAAATCGCGTCAATTTTAGCTGTCTATGGGTTAACTATAGAGGCAGTAGGGTATGCGTTGTTTTAAAAAGATTAAAAGATGTCGCAACTTTACAACTTCGCCCGGCTCACTCGTACGGACTGGTCAGTAACGGCGGTCCTCAATCGACTCTCATTGTCCGACAGACACCAGGCAGTGGACAGCCGGACGAGGAATTGCTTTATATTATATCGGAGCGAACGGCAGAAATGATGGCTAAACAGCTATACGATCAACAGATTATACACAAACTTATAGACGCCTTTAACAAACTGATCAATGCGGGCATTCAACTATACCAGACCTATCTGGACAACTATATACCCAATGTTGATCTGGTCGACAACGATAACCAAAGACAGCGGTTTTGCGAAGTGGCCACACGGCTCAGGTATCTGTTGCACGAAGCCATGTCAATGGAAGAGGTGCTCACACACGCTGTCGAGTATACACCGCAAGCCCTAGCGATACAAGTGCAGCCCATACCGGTAGGCAGACCGGCGCCGTTAAACTTGCAGCCGTGGCTACCCGAGTTCCCGACACACATCAGTAGTATGAATGAATTTGAAGGAATCAAACAAAATGTGGAAAACAATAGACACCGATTATATCAAATCAATTGGATGGATGTGTTTAACCGGTACGCACACCGGGACCACTCAATTGTTATCAATAAGACAGGAAATCAGGTATTAAAGTTTGCAGATAGTAATCAAGTGATTCACGTGTTTGTTAATATAGGAGGCAATCATGGGATCGAATTACGATCAACTAGTTTTCTGACCATTGATTATAAAAAAGCGCACACGTATTATATACGAACAGTAAGCAATCGACAATTGATATACAAGAGTCCAAAACTAAGTGAATACATTTTTCAACCGGTTTATAGTTACGGTAATCACGGCGAACACGTTATTGTTGGTCTGAACGGTTGGCATACAATGGTATTGCAGTTCAAAGACATTGGCCCAGAGGAACGGGTATATTTTGTCAACTACAGAATAGCCCGCAAATTGAGACGACTGTTTGAGGTGTGGGATGTAATGACAGTTTATCGGCACTGGTTTGTAGATCTGATTCGTTACGCTTCGTTGCTTATTGAGATGCAAAGATTTGCCAATCAAAACGTTCAGCTCCGACAAGATATTACCATCGAATTAATCAAACAGAAAAAGTGGTTGGCCGGTGCACTGCCCCGACTGTTTACCAATTATCATGCACTGGAAAAGCTGCAACTCTTGCACCGACACAGTATACTGATTGCCGATCCAAACAGACAGTTGCCAAGAGATTTGGTTTTATGGCCGTCAAAAAATGAAGCTAATAATTTAGATGTTGAAGGAGAGGATGAATCAGATGCTGACGATAATGATGCCGGTGCTTATTGGGGAGTTGTTTTGGATTCAACAGTTGTTGTTGTTGATGATGATGATGGTGCTTATGGTGGAGCTGATCCCAATGATCCCATCAATTTATTAGTTCCCACCAATCTACTCACTCAAATCGAGCCCATCGGTCCTATGGATCCCATTGATACCATTGATCCGATAGATCCCATGGATTTCATCAATCCCATTGGCCATGACCCTATGATATATGAAGGTGCTGTTGGACATCAAGAACCTGCTGGCAATGAACATCCCGGTACTAGAAGTCAGGATAGTCCACAAGGAGCTTGTAAACGACGAAAGTCTTCAACCGCTACAAAACAAGATCCACAGTCGGATGACAAACCAAATTAAACATAAAATATTTGATAGACTATTGTCTGAAAAATGAGATAGGATTACAATCAATAGACAAAAGAGATTTACTGATTCATCAATATCAATATAACACTTTAAGATAATAGTTCTGTTTGTATGCGTGCAAATTTCATCAACAACCATATTTTAATTCAAATCTAAAAATGTATTGTTATATTTTCAATTATTATTTAAAGTAATGTTATTTCTATTGTAAATTTTAAATGATTATTGAGCTCAGGTAGGTTTTAGGGATAGGTAGGCAGATGCTGTGTAATAACATATTGCTATATTCTATAAGTCACATGGCACCGGGAGGTTAGCTACCTGTGCTAAATTTTTGTAAAATTTCCTCAAATGCAAAAATTTCCAATTTGTGTGAAAATTTTCAATTTTTATTGAAAGCAATGTTATTTCTATGGGAAATTTTAAATGTTTATTTAGCACTGGTAGGTTTTAAGGACAGGTAGGCAGGTGTTGTGTAATTACACTTTGCTATATTGTGTGAGTCTTAGGGCACCGGGAGGTAAGCTACCTGTGCTAAATTTTTGTAAAATTTTCTCAAATGCAAAAATTTTCAATTTATTTTAAAATTTTGAATTTTTATTGAAAGCAATGTTATTTATATGGGAAATTTTAAATGTTTATTTAGCACTGGTAGGTTTTAAGGACAGGTAGGCAGGTGTTGTGTAATTACACTTTGCTATATTGTGTGAGTTTTAGGGCACCGGGAGGTTAGCTACCTGTGCTAAATTTTTGTAAAATTTTCTCAAATGCAAAAACGATTAAATTTTCAATTTTTATTAAAATTATTTAAATTTATATAAAAACTAAAAATTCTCAAAAGTTTAGACCAAATAATGTCTAATGGTTCAGTAGTTTTGTTACATTAGGTTATGTAGTACATTACCAGTAGTTGTATAAACAAATTAAGTCTCATTCAAACTACTTATGATGAATATTTTAAAATTAGTAAAAGAATTGCACGGCTATAGACGTTGCGCGGGTTAAACTAGTTATTATTATTAATTATATTGATTTTGAAGTCAATAATATGATTCAGTAAATGATTGAATTAAATTTAATATCTATTATTTTTTTTTAATTTCAGAAATAAACCATAATATCGATATTTATGAAATATAAATTAGTACAGAATATAATATATAAGCATTTTTTAATTAAAATTTTTCTTTTAGTTTAAAATTTTAGAAAAATATTATTATTTTTTTGAAACAATTAGAGATAATTAAAATAATTAACAAAATTATCGTTTCATTACCAATCAATCAAACTATCAATACATCAATACAATCAATTTAGTACATACCGGTGCCACAACAAACAGACCAATGGCATTAGAGAACATACATCAATCAATAGACGGTGTACACCAACTGTTGGAAGTGATAGATCTGGTACAGGTAAGACACGACGGCAATCCTCAGCCATACATCAATATGTCAATACAATATGTAAAGTTGCAGGTATGGGTGGCCGGACAGACCATTGATACATGTGTCACAAAAAAGGAAGAAAAACGGTCAGTATATTTGGAGAATAGCATAAGTTTTAGTTGCCAATGGGTTAACTATCGGGACAGTAGGGTATGCGTAGTTTTAAAAAGGGGTACAAGTCAAAAATCTAGTCGTCCAGCCCACTCGCATGGATTGGTCAGTGAAGGCGGTCCTCAATCAACGCTCGTTGTCAGACAGACACCTGACGGAGGACAGCCGGACGACGAATTGCTTTATATTATCGACGAGCGAACAGCACAGATGATGGTCACACAGTTATACGATCAACAGGTTATACACAAACTTATAGACGCCATCAATAATCTAATCAATGCAGGCATTCAACTCTATCAGACCTATTTGGATAACTATATGCCCAATGTTGCTCTGGTTGATAACGATAACCAAAATCAACGGTTCTGCGGAGTGGCCACACGGCTCAGGTATCTGCTGCACGAAGCCATGTCAATGGAAGAGGTGCTCACACACGCTGTCGAGTATATGCCTCAAAAGCTAACGACACAAATGCTTCCCGAACCGATAAGTCGATCGGCGCCTTTAAACTTGCAGCCATGGCTACCCGAGCACCCGCCACATATAAATGATATGAAGGAATTTGAAGTAATCAAACAAAATGTGGAAAACAATGGACACCGGTTATACCAAATCAATTGGATGGATGTGTTTGAACGGTACGCACACCGGAACCATTCAATTGTTATTAGTCAGGCAGGAGAACAGTCAATAAAGTTTAATAATAATAATCAAACGGTTACTGTGTTTGTTCATCTTGGATACGGAAGGGGCGCTGAACTACGATCAACAAGTTTTCTAAACTATGAACATAAACAACCGCTTATTTATTTTGTACGTACGGTAAACAATCGTCAGTTGATATTCAAGAGTAGAAACCCAAATGACAAGTTTATGCAACCGGTTTACAGTAACGGCAATCACGGCCAACACGTTGTTATTGGTCTCAACGGTTGGCAGACAATGGTATTACACTTCGACGGCATTGGTCCCGAGGAACGGGTATATTTTGTCAACAGTAGTATAGCCCGCCGATTGAGACGACTGTTCGAAGTATGGGATGTCATGACAGTCTATCGGCGCTGGTTTGAAGATCTAATCCGTTATTCTTCTCTTCTCATTGAAATGCAACGGTTTGCCAATCAAAACGTTGATCTACGACAAAATATTATCACCGATTTGATCAATCGGAACAAATGGTTAGCCGGTGCACTGACCCGACTGCTTACCAATTATCATGCATTGGAGAAACTGCAATTATTGCATCGGCACAGTGTATTTATTGGAGATCCAAACAAAGACCCGCCGAGAGCTTTGCTCCAATGGCCGACACTTAAAATGGCTTCTAATTTGGACGTTGAAGAAGAAAATGATGAATCAGATGCTGACGATACAGATGCCGGTACATATTGGGGAGTCATATTGGATTCAACAGCTGATGATGATGGTGCTTATGGTGGAGTTGATTTCATCAATCCTATTAATCTAGTAGATCCCATAGATCCTTTAGATCCTTTTGATCCCATAGATCCCATAGATCCCATAGATCCCATAGATCCCATTGAACCAATCGATCCGATAGACTATGAACTTACTGAAGTTATTTTGGATACTACATTTGATGATGTTGGTGGTGGTGGTGCTTATGGTGAAGTTGATCCCATTTATCCCCTCAGTCTAGTCGATTCCATCAATCACATCGAGCCCAATGAGCCCATTGGTACCATTGAACCAATTGATCCGATGGATTTCATCAATCCCATTGGCCACGACCCTATGAAAGTCGATTTAGATACTTCAGTTGATGATGATGGTGGTGCTAATGGTGGAGTTGATCCTATTGATCACATGAATCTTATCGATTCCATCAATCTTATTGAGCCCGTCGAGCCAATTGGTCCCGGTGAACCAATTGATCCTATGGATTTCATCAATCCCATTGGCCATGACCCTAATAACGTCATTTTGGATACAATAGTTGATGATGTTGGTGATCCTGATGCAGCTGATCCCATTGATCCCACCAATCCTAGTGACTATCAAGATGTTTATCAACCGGGCACTAGTGGTAGTAGAAAAATTGGTACTAAACGTCAAAAGACAACAACTGTCACAAAAGAGGATCCATCGACTGATGACAAACCAAATTAGACAAAAATATTTAGTAGACTGTTATAAGGAACGGCAGTACAAACACATTAGAGGTTTTTATAGATAATGAAATACATGAAGTTTTAGTACAAATTTTCTTTTAATTAATTAATTTATTAATTAATGATCAAATATATATATATATATATATATATATATAAGTAAGTAATTAATGAGACAAAAAAAAGAGAACAGGTATCAGTAAAATACTGTATAAATGATAGCTTGTAATACTGAATGTTATTGGAAATGGCAAAAAATATATGACTTTCCTTTAGAAACTATAGTCTTAAAAAATAGTCAAATTTGCTCAAACATTAGCCCAAGCAAACAGATTAATTTTTTTATACATAATATAAATTGTTTTATATGATATAATAATTTGATAATTTATTGTAAGATACTGTAAGTATAAACTACAGTAATAATACAGTAAGTACTGTTTATTGAACTATACAGTTACAGTATATTTATTTAGTGTAAATTACAATAATGTAATAATTTTAAAATTTAATTTTATTACAAAAAAAAATAGAAAATTTATTCAAAATATAAGAATAATACTTAGATATCAGTACTAAAGAGACACAATTAGAGTGCACTACCAATCAAACTATCAATACCTGTGCCAACCAACATAACAGACATAAAGACCAATGGCATTAGAGAATATACAGCAATCAATAGACGGTGTACACCAACTTCTGGAAGTGATAGATCTGGTACAGGTAAGACACGACGGCAATCCTCAGCCATACATCAATATGTCATTATTATATAAACAGATGCAGGTATGGGTGGCCGGACAGCCAATTGATATAACTATTACAAAAATGGGTGAAAAACGGGTAGTAAATTTGGAGAATCGCATAAGTTTTAGCTGCCAATGGGTCAACTATCGGGGCAGTAGGGTATGCGTAGTGTTAAAAAAGGCTATAGATCAAAAAGTTATTCGCCCGGCCCACTCGCACGGATTGATCAGTGATGGCGGTCCTCAAGCGACACTCATTGTCAGACAGACACCTGATGGAGGACAGCCGGACGACGAATTGCTTTATGTTATCGACGAGCGAACGGCACAGATGATGGCCACACAGCTATACGATCAACAGGTCATACATAAACTTATAGACGCCATCAACAATCTAATCAATGCAGGCATTCAACTCTATCAGACCTATTTTGATAACTATATGCCCAATGTTGCTCTGGTTGATAACGATAACCAAAAACAACGGTTCTGCGAAGTGGCCACACGGCTCAGGTATCTGCTGCGCGAAGCCATGTCAATGGAAGAGGTGCTCACACACGCTGTCGAGTATATGCCTAAAAAGCTAACGATACAAGTTCTGCCCGAACCAATAAGTCGACCGGCGCCTCTAAATTTGAAGCCATGGCTACCCGAACACCCGCCACATATAAATGATATGAAGGAATTTGAAGTAATCAAACAAAATGTGGAAAACAATAGACACCGGTTATACCAAATCAATTGGATGGATGTGTTTGAACGGTACGCATACCGGAACCATTCAATTGTTATTAGTCAGGCAGGAGAACAGTCAATACAGTTTAATAATAGTAATCAAACGGTTACTGTGTTTGTTCATCTTGGATACGGAAGGGGCGCTGAACTACGGTCAACAAGTTTTCTAAACTATGAACATAAACAACCTAGCATCTATTTTGTACGTACAGTAAACAATCATCAGTTAATATTTAAGTGTAAAAACTCAAATGACAAACTTATGCACCCGGTTTACAGTAACGGCAATCACGGCCATCACGTTGTTATTGGTCTCAACGGTTGGCAGTCAATGGTTTTACACTTCGACGGCATTGGTCCCGAGGAACGGGTATATTTTGTCAACAGTAGTATAGCCCGCCGATTGAGACGACTGTTCGAAGTATGGGATGTCATGACAGTCTATCGGCGCTGGTTTGAAGATCTAATCCGTTATTCTTCTCTCATCATTGAAATGCAACGGTTTGCCAATCAAAACGTTGAGCTACGACAAGATATTGTCACCGATTTGATCAATCGGAACAAATGGTTAGCCGGTGCACTGCCCCGACTGCTTACCAATTATCATGCATTGGAGAAACTGCAGTTATTGCATCGGCACAGTATATTAATTGGCGATCCAAACAAAGACCCGCCGAGAGCTTTGTTCCAATGGCCGACAATTAAAACGGCTTCTAATTTGGACGTTGAAGGAGAAAATTATGAATCAGATGCTGACGATACAGATACAGGTGCTTATTGGGGAGTCATATTGGATTCAACAATTGATGAGGGTGGTGCTTATAGTGAAGTTGATTTCACGAATCCCATTAATCTAGTCGATCCCATTGAACCAATCGATCCGATAGGCTATGAACCTACTGAAGTTATTTTGGATCCTACAGTTGATGATGGTGGTGGTGGTGCTTATGGTGAAGTTGATCCCATTTATCCCCTCACTCTAGTCGATTCCATCAATCTTATTGAGTCCAATGAGCCCATTGGTTCCATTGAACCACTCGATCCTATGGATTTCATCAATCCCATAGGCCATGATCCTATGAAAGTCAATTTGTATACTACTGTTGATGATGATGGTGGAGTTGATCCTATTGATCACATGAATTTAGTCGATTCCATCAATCTCATTGAGCCCGTCGAGCCAATTGGTCCAATTGAACCAATCGATCCTATGGATTTCATCAATCCCATTGGCCATGACCCTAATAACGTCATTTTCGATACAATAGTTGATGATGTTGGTTATCCTGATGCAGCTGATCCCATTGATCCCACCAATCCTAGTGACTATCAAGATGTTTATCAACCGGGCACTAGTGGTAGTAGAAAAATTGGTAATAAACGTCAAAAGACAACAACTGTCACAAAAGAGGATCCATCGACTGATGATAAACCAAATTAGACGAAAATATTTAGTAGACTGTTATAAGGAATGGCAGTACAAACATATTAGAGGTTTTTTTTTATAGAAAATGAAATTCATAAAGTTTTAATCAAAATTTTCTTTTATTTAATTTATTAATTAATGATAAAAATATATATTTAAGTAAGTAATTAATGAGACAAAAAAAGAGAACAGCTATCAGTAAAATACTGTATAAATGATAATTTGTAATACTGATTGTCATTGGAAATGGCAAAAAATATATGACTTTCCTTTAGAAACTATAGTCTTAAAAAATAGTCAAATTTGCTCAAACATTAGCCCAAGCAAACAGATTAATTTTTTTATACATAATATAAATTGGTTTCTATGATATGATAATTTACTGTAAAATGTTCTCAATTTATAGCATTGAATTACATTTTGTATATTGATTTTTTTTAAAAACCATTCAAACAATTACTTAATATTTTTTAAAGGTTAGGTTGGGAGGGTTAGAAATGAGTGTGCAGTCAGCGGAAGGTAGAGGAGGTTAATCAGGTAGTCTTAAATTAGCTGTATTGTCTAAATAGCGTTCAAAAACTATGAAAATACCGATAAAACAAATAACCAGACTGTTACCGACAAACTATATACCGGTATAATAATAATAATAGTTGCTTAGATTATATATTAATTGTAATTTACAATAATGTACACCAAAAAAATATCAATAATTAATTTTTTAATTTAAAATTTGAAATTTGAAAAAAATTCTAAAAATTTATATTAATTAGATATCAATAAAGACATACATTTATCACACACAAAGACGCAGACACATTACCACAGACACCTTACATACCGGTGCACAACAATGAATACTATAATACAGAATTGGTTAGACGGCTCACAACAAATGCATGCACTGGTAGAGCTGGTACGAGTAACTCATGATCATAATCCGCGACCATTTATTGATATGTCGTTAGTGAATACGATGCAAGAGGTATGGGTGGCCAGAGTGTGCATTGATGTCGAAGTGAAAAGGTTTCAAACAAAACCTGTTGTTAATATTGAGAATCGTATGAATATTTGCAGTGAATGGGTCAACTATAGAGATAGTAGACTATGTCTAGTAATCAGGCAATTACTTACCCCAAAATCATTATGGCGACGGGTGCACTCACACGGATTGGTCAGTGAGGGCGGACCTCAAGCGACACTCCTACCTTCTCCAGAACAGACACCCGGTTTGAACAACAGTTTGGTTTATATTATCCTTGATGGCTACACTGCTATACGATCGGTGTATTATACACAAACTAATTGATGCCATCTATAAACTGGTCAATGGGGGCAGCCAACTGTATGTGGCCTATCAGGACCAATATCTACTTGAATTGGACACTTTTGAAGGACAAAGAGTACATTTCTATGTGTTGTCCACACGGATCAGGTATCAACTACAAAGGGCAATGGAAATGGAGACGATATTGATCAACGCTGTCGAGTATTTACCTCAACACTATACCAGCCGATTGTTGCCCCCACCAGAAACCGAAATAGTGCCCGACAACTTGACGCTATGGCAACCGGAAGTAGTGCCAACTATGGACAATCTACAGATATTTCAGGAAATTGCTGACAATATCCAAAACAACGAAAACAGGTTATACCAAATTAATTGGCAAACCGATGTCCTCGATAGATACGTCAGGGCGTCTATTGCTATCAATAGTAACGGAAACCAGAGGCTACGGCTTCCCAATGGACGAATGTTTGAGGTATCTGTCAATATTGATCACAAGGATGGTATTGAACTACAGTCGACCGATATGTCAATTGTTCCGATAGTCTATTATATACGGCCGCTTAACAATCGTCAATTGATATATAGGAGTGTGGATGATAGTTATAGGGCCAACGTCACCAATCAATTCATACCCGTCTATAGTAGCGGCAATCACGGACAACATCCAGATATTGGTCTCGACGGTTGGCAGGCAATGGTCTTAAAATTAGAGGATATTGGGACTAATGAGGAACGGGTGTATTTTGTTAACATTAAAATGGCCAGTCGATTGAGACGACTATTCGAAATCTAGGACGTCATGAAAGTCTATCGGTTTTGGTTCAATGAACTGATCCGATTTGCATCGGCACTCATTGAAATGCAGAGATCGGCTATTGAAATGAATGTCGTGGACCGACAACAGTTACAATACGAACTGAACAATTGGAACAACTGGTTAGCCGCCGATGCTTTGCCACAAATGACTAGGAATTATTGGGCACTGGAAAAGCTACAACTACTGTATCGGCACAGTATACTGATTGGCGATACAAGCAATCAGCCGCCACTTGATTTGAAACATCCAAGACATTTAAAAAACTTAGATGAACCGCTAGCTTATAATTCTGATGACAATACAGATGCCGATGCCTACTGGGAAATCAATGCTGGTGGTAGTAGTGGTAGTGGGGCCGGTACCGGTGCCGGTGCCGGTCCAAGTCATGTCAAGACATCAACTATAACAAAATTTGATCCGATTGAACCCAGCGATCAAATTGTTCTCATAGATGACATCTACCCTATAGATGAGATCATTCTCATAGATGACCCTATGGATGACATCAATCCCATAGATGACATCAACCCTATAGATGACATCAATCTTATAAATCTAATCCATCACCACGATCTGGTCGATCAGATCAATGCCATGGATCCCATCGCTCCCAACGCTCCCATTGCTCCCATTGCTCCCATTGCTCCCATTGCTCCCATTGCTCCCATCGATCCCATCGATCCCATGATTTTCATCAATCCCATTGGCCAACACCCTGATGGACATCAAGATGACGATGAAGATAGCGATACTTTTAGTACGGATAGTGAACGAAATCTTCCCAAACGTCGAAAGTCGTAAACCGTTACAAAACAAGATCTACAGCCGAATGACAAACCAAATTGGATCCAAAATATTTGGTAGACTATTGTCTCAGAAAAGTACAATCAATGAACTAATAGTAGATATTATATTTTATATCTATAATAAAGTGATTGATTTGATTTGATTATTATATATTTTTTAAATTCAGAAATATGACGCCATAAGATTGACATCAGTAACAATTAGATACTGTATGTTTAAAATATAAATTAGTATTTTATCACTAATTGTATCGATTTATTTTAATTATTAAAAAAAAATTAGAAAATTATTTTTAAAAAAAACAAGATAATAATTGGATATCAGAGTATATTTGACAAATTTACAATAATCGTAATAATAGATAATTAATCTTAATCAATCAGTCAATTAATTAATTAGTTGAAACTATAATAAATTTTGTCTACAAAATTAAACATTAGTCTATAAATTATTAATCCAGTTATTTTAAAAGTTTCAATAATTTAATAATATTTTTTATTTTTAGAAATAAATTTTTAACTTTTAATAATAATTTTTTAATTGTTATCATTATTATAAAAATATTTTTTTTTTTTTAAACATAGACAAACAAACAGAATACAACCAACTATTCACAAGACTACTACCGATACCAGTCCTATTACATACCGGTTCTGACATATGAATGGAGGCAGAAATCGGAAATGTTATTCAAGATTGGCTAAATGGCGCACAACATTTGCAGAGTATTGTAGAGCTGGTACATGTTTATCCATATAATCAGCCGCCATATATCAATATGTCTATACAGGACCAATATCAACGGGTATGGGTGGCCGGAGAGCCAATCGATGTAGACGTAAGGATTTTAAACCAAAAACGGTATTTCAGGTTAGAAAATGACTCGCGTTTTAGTAGTCAATGGGTCAACTATAGGGATATTAGGGCATGCATGATGATGACACCGGGACAAAAAGGAAATTTGGGACCGTCGCACGCGTACGGTTTGGTCAGTAAAGGTGGTCCTCAAGCATCGCTTATTGTTCGTCCGGGACAGCAGCCCGTTTAGGATCTGCTCTATGTTATCGATCCCCGTACGGCACACGCAATAGCTACACGTCTATACGACCAGTGCATTATGCAAACAATTATCGAGGTCTTCTATAGGCTGATCTATGCCGGCAGTCAACTCTTTGTGGCCTATCTTCAAGTTAACGGGTTCAACAATTTTGATCAACTAAGAAATCAATTCTATGAAGTGTCCACAAAAATCAGGTATCAGTTAGGAGTAGCCATGGAAATGGAGGAAGTGTTGACACACGCAATCGAATATCTGCCGGTTCGCTACGCCCATGGATGCCTACCCGAACCGGCAATCGAAACTGAAACACCAGCAAACTTACACCAATGGCAACCAGAACCGGCAAACCTAAACCATATACAGGCTATGCAGCAAATTGCTAACAATATTGAAAACAATCAGTTATACCAAATCGATTGGCACCAAAACGTACTGTTGCCGTACAGTCATTTGAATCACTCGGTTAGAATCAATGAAGAGGGAGTCCAAGTGGTCAGATTTCCCGACGGCCGAGAAGTTCGTGTAACTGTCGAACGTCATATTGAGAATAGTATTCGGTTGCGATCTAATGCTTTTCTAGTCCACGAAGCAAATCTTCCTGTATATTATAATATATTTACGGTCAACAATCGCAAGTTAATATATAGATGTCCGGATAATTCCGTAACATTTACACCGGTCTATAGCAGCGGCATTCATGGAGGACATCCTATTCTTGGTATGAATGGTTGGCAGGCAATGGTATTACAATTGGATGGCACTGATGAACGGGTGCATTTTGTCGATTATCAAATGGCTGGCCGATTGAGACGACTGTTCGAGGTTTGGGACGTCATGAAAGTCTATCGGTTGTGGTTTAACGAACTGATCAGATTTACATCAATGCTTTTTGAGATGAACCGATCTGCCAATCAATTAATCGGTTTTCAAGAACATCAACAAAACCAACTGTACGTTTTGAACAACTGGTTGACCAATGCTTTGCCACAGATTACTAGAAATTATTGGGCACTAGAAAAACTACAGCTACTGCATCGGCACAGTATACTGATTGGTACTCTAGAAAATCAGCCAAAATTGATGCACCGATGGCCCAATCGTGAAGATGCACTACATTTAGACGATCCGGATGATTATGAATCTGACGACAATACAGATGCCGCTGCCTATTGGGGATACAATCAAGGTTATGGAGAAGCTGATGGTGCTAGTGGTAGTGCCGGTCCCAGTGGTTTTGCAAACAGTGATGGTGCCGGTCCCAGTGGCTTTGCAAGCAGTAGTAGTGCTGGTCCTAGTGGTACTACAAGGAGTAGTAGTGCCAGTCCAAGTGGCTCTACAAGCAGTAGTAGTAGTACCGGTACCAGTAGTTCTACAAGCAGTAGTAGCACCCGTATCAGTAGTTCTACAAGCAGTAGTAGTACCAGTACCAGTAGCTCTACAACCAGTGGCAATGGTAGATGCAAAGAATCAGTTTTCAAAAAACGAAGACCTAGAGATGATGACAGTGATAATGATAGAGATGGCGGTCCCAAAAAAAAATTGACCACAACTATCACAAAAGTGGATACAACAGCGCCTGGATATGTAGAGTAAACTAGATATGATATGTCTGTTATAAAAACAATTTGTCAGATAATATTAGGAACGGTAGGTAACAAATAAAATCAGATAAACAAAATTAATATTGTAATATTTGTTGTATGGGAAATATAAAACTAACTAATATAGACTTACTAGTAATGGTTATAATATTATTATAATTTTTATCGACTTAATTAATTATATACTTATATTTAATTAATACTATAAACATACTTAAATAAAAATATATAATTAATTTTAATGAATAAATAAAAATTTCAATTAAAATAGATAATAAACAATTTGTTAATAATTTTGTTAATAAAATTAAACATTACATTAACAACAACAAGAAAAATATTTAATTCTTAGCTTTATTTAATAATAACAATAATATTACTAATTTATTGATTAACCTATTAATCAAATCAATCAACAAAAAATCATGTTATTTAAGTATGTGATGGATTAGGTTTCATAAATATTTGTCTGATTGTTTTTTTTTTATATTAATTGTTTCACTAGTTTTTAATTTTTACCACAAAAACAAATTATTTATTTTTAAATTTAAATTAAAAAATATAATTCTATAATACATTTTTAAGACAAACACATAGAAGATACAGTATGTATACATACATAAGCTCTATAGATAGATAAACGCAGAGACAAACCAGTCAACCATCAGAATTATCATCAGTTATGGACAATGAAAATCAGATAAATTATGCGATGTTGGAAAGTATGTTAACACAAGTTCACAATTTTATCCAACCATTAGCACTGGTAGAGATAGACAATCTGGAAGTTGAGGGGCGACCATATGTCGATATGATTGGTCAAATGAATCAACAGCTACAGGTTGCCGGAGTGCTCATCAATACCAGGAGATTGAACAGATATAACAGACGGAGCATAAAATTACAGAATAGACAATCATTTGCGTGTCAATGGGTTAACCATCGGCAGACCAGAGTATGTTTGGTCATACATTACGTAGGGAATAACCATCCAAAACCAATTCACTCATACGGATTCAGAATGGATGGTGGTCCACAAGCAAAACTCATTGTCCAGGAAGGACAGGACAATCAGCGACAGGAACTGTTGTATGTCTTAGACGAACCAAAGGCCAGAGCAATGTTCCAACAAATTTACGAACGACAGGCGTTACGCAATTGTGTCGAAGCCAACAATTGGCTTATTTATTTCGCACATCTACTCTATCATAGTTATCGGGACAGATATATACCACTATTGGACGACCTTAGGGAACGATTCTATGCCGAGTATCGTTTGATCGGACAACTAATGTCTACATTTAAAGAAATGGAGAAAATCTTAACGCATGCAGTGATCTATCAGCCGGTAGAGTTTGATGTGGAAAATGCACCGAATATGCCCGAACCGATAGTCACACCGATTCCGCCGCCAAATATGAACGACTTAATAATGATCGAAATTATAGATATAAATCAAATGCATCAGTTAGAAGAATGGGAAACCAGTTTTGTAAACAATATGTTTCAAACCGATTGGCATAGTATGATGTTTGTCCACTACGTCCAACTCGACAACTCAGTAGCTATCAATGAAGTTGGAGTTCAAAACATACAGTTTCCACAGAGACCGCCAATAGATGTAGAAGTAGAGGTCGTCGACCAACAGACTATTCGACTCAAATCCAATTATTTTGTATTCGCGGGTTTCAATGAAACACAAGATTTACTAATACATACGCTAAACCCGGGCGCACCTTCACTCATATCTCGTATCAATCCTGCAAATTATTATCAATGGCCGGTCCATTCGTGCGGCATTCACGGCAATCATCATCAAATTGGAGTAAACGGATGGCAGACAATGGTGTTGCAGTTCGATGAAGTGGATAACGGCGCCAGACGGGTATTTTTTGTTACCCGTGCGATGGCCGCCGAATTACGCCAATTGTTCGAAGTGTTAGACATTATGAATGTCTATCGGCTCTGGTTTATCGATCTGACTAATTATGTGTCACTGATTCTCGAATTGCAACGTTTTGCCAACAGAATGGCCGAAATCGATGTCCGACGCTTACAATTGATGGATCAATTGCACGAAAGAGCCGATTGGTTGAACATTACACGACAACAGTTGTACGACAATTATTTAGCACTCGAGAAGTTAGAGCGACTCCATCGTCACAGCGTAATGATTCCCGACCATCCATTTCACAACAATCCAATCGTGTCTATCAATAGTTGGCTGTCAGTACCAAATAGTCAGAATTTAGATCTGCCGTCTGATGAAGATTTACCGGCAAATGTCCCGCAAGATGTTCTGGCAAATGTCATAGCAGATGTCTTTGCAGATGACCCGCTAGATGTCCCGCAAGATGTCCCACAAGATCTCCTGGCAAATATCATGGCAGATGTCTTTGCAGATGACCCGCAAGATGTCCCACAAGATGTCCCACAAGATGTCCCTCAAGATGTCCCTCAAGATGTCCCACAAGATGTCCCTCAAGATGTCCCTCAAGATCCCCTGGCAAATATCA